CACTGAGCAGACTGTGAATGAGTACTAGGTTCTTTCAGAATGAGTACTACGTTTATAATGAACAAATGTGTGAAAATCAACCCTACAATGTCTTAGAATGAACACTACGTGGATTCAAAATGAACCCTATGTTGTCGTCTCGCTGGCTATGAATGAACACTACATTGTGATGAACAGTTGTGTGAGAATGAATCCTACGTTGTTTAAGAATGAGCACTACATTGATTCAGAATGAGCATTCGTTGTCATCTGACCGAAAGTGTCATCTGACCGAAACATGTCATCTGACTGGAGTCAATCCCTATATATGTGTGTGTGTGTGTGTGTGTGTGTGTGTGTGTGTGTGTGTGTGTGTGTAAGTATTAAAGAATTTAAAACAAACACTATTTTATTTTTATATGTTAAAACTTGGAATATATGTGAATCCCTGCGAAGCATGGAATTGATACTAGTTTCATGTAATTGAAAACATTATTAGTTTAAAAATAGAGTAAAGCTAACAGTACACTAATTAATATTGTGCCCTATTTATACACCATCATTTTATAGAGCACTGGAAATACTTATGAAACTCGAGGCTTCAAATTAGGGCTTCAAAATTTCTCTCTCTACTACATTAGCTTTAATTTATCTCACAAATTCGATGGAAATGGGTTCGAAGCCCTAGAGCTTCAAACAAGGGCTTGCATAAGACACTACAAAGAAATTTCTAATCAATCGAGTGATTAAAAATATGTTTATTCAAACCTGAGTTGTAGTAACATATTGCAAATTGAAATAATTCATTAAATAAAAAATATAATCAATAAAAAAGTATGTTAAATTTAAGAAAAACATAAAAATTCTTTACTAATAGTAAATTTAAACAAAAAAATATTACATTAAATAAAAACATACAGAGTAAAAAAATTATGTTTGTGTATATTTTTTTAAAGAGAAAATATAAAGATTTGAAAACCGTTAGAGCTTGAAGCACAAGGGATGAAGCCCCGAGGGGGAAGTGTTTGCAACCCTTTGGCCTTAAAAGGGACAATAACACCCAGGCGTTAGGCCCGTTACTAGAGCTCTTAGTACTCCCTTCGTCACTAAATAGATAACAAATTGTGAATTATGAATAAAATTTTTCTACTTTTTGGAATTATTTTATTTATAAATTAATATATCAATAAGATATAAAAATTAGATTTTAAAAAATTACGTCAAAAGTTATACACCCTCCGTCTCCCAGTTTTTGTCTATTTTTGACTTTTAGAACTGTCATCTAAGCACTTTGATTCATCAAATTCTCTCAATGTATAAGCATAAATATATTCATATGTGATCTTGTTTGATTTTTCTTAACACATAGATTATTACGGAGTAATATATAATTTCTATAATGAAAATGATGTGTAAAAATAAAAATGGATAAATATTCTGAGACGGGGAGTACAAAATAAGAAGTGATAAGAATATTTTATTTTATCAAATACTTAATGAAATCGCATAAACAAACAAATTGAATACTGGTATGTAGCCTTTTAGATCTATTGCTTTGTTTTTTTTTTAAATTAATCTAATTTTATTTGGTTACTTAATGCTCCATTCAGAATTTAGTAACCCATTTGGATTCTTAATGTCCACTTTTATTGAATTTCATTTTTTCATTTTCAGAGTTTCAGCAGCTAAACCCTTCCATTCAAGCCCTGAATAACTCCATTAAGGGCTGAATGGAAGCATGGAGAAGTTGGGTTTAGATCTTCACACTGTTACTGAGTGGTTCGACCCGGACCCTCAAGTCGATATCTTTGATCCAGACTACTCCAAAGTCGTGTTCAAGCTAGGGAGAGAAAGACAAAATCAAAGAAAATCATCTAAAGAAAACTGCACGTGCAGAATCTGCAATGATTGCTCAACCTAGTGTTATGGCGCAAGTGTTGGTAATTCTTGCATCCCTCTCTGCTGCTTTGATTTTCTCTAACTACGTGGTGGACAAGGTGGTAATATGGTTGTTCTTTTCCGTTATATTTTGTGTTAAGGTGTCTTTTTATATAAATATCTATGTGTACTATTCGAAGCTCAGAGCCATGTTTCAAGAAATTGAAACCCTTCTTCTGAACAAAAAAACTTCCAAAGCAAAGGGGAATGCGTTCGGTTTGTTGTCATCATTAATATTCAATGACACTGAAAACCCGCAATCACTAGGGGCGCTGCGGACGAAAGCGAAGATCGAAGCGAAGTTATAAAGCTTTACAAAAGAAATTGACACGGTTGAAAATGCCACTGGATATTGCTATACTGAATTGGTTCTGAGGACATTGTTTTCCATTGTGCAAGCGGTGTTGCTCATCATGATGATCCTTACTACGATCGTAATGGTGCAATAGCGGTTGTTCACTCTCCACTGCCTATATGAAGAATTTTTAAATTTTGTTTTGTGTTATCAATTGACAAAATTTGAAAACCCTTCATGTAGGCAGTGAAGAGTGAGCAACCGTTGTCGCACCTTACGATCGTGGTAAGGATCATCATGATGAGCGTCACTGCTTGCACAATGGAAAACAATGTCCTCAGAACCAATTCAGTATAGCAATATCCAGTGACATTTTCAACAGTGTCAATTTCTTTTGTGAAGCTTTCTAACTTCGCTTCGATCTTTGCTTTCGTCCACGGTGCCCCTTGTGACTGCGGGTTTTCAGTGTAATTGAACATTAATGATGACATCAAACTGAACGCAATCGCCTTTGCTTTGAAAGTTTTTTTCTTCAGAAGAAGGGTTTCAATTTCTTGAGAAATGGCTCTCAATTTCGAATAATACACATAGACATCCATATAAAAAGACACTTTAACACAACATATAACGGAAAAGAACAATCATATTACTACCTTATCCGCCACATAGTTAGAGGAAATCGATGCAACAGAGAGGGATGCAAGAATTACCAACACTTGCGCCATAACACTAGGTTGAGCAGTCATTTTTTGCACGGGCAGTTTTCTCCAGATGATTTTCTTTGATTTTGTCTTTCTTTCTCCCTAGCTTGAACAAGACTCGACTCTGGAGTGGTCTGGATCAAAGATACCGGCTTGAGGGTCCGGGTCGAACCACTCAAGCCGCTCAGTAACAGGTGTGAAGATCTAAACCCAACTTCTCCATGCTTCCATTCGGCCCTTGAATGGAGTTATTCAGAGCTTGAATGGAAGGGTTTAGCTGCTGAAACTCTGAAAATAAAAAAAATGAAATTCAATAAAAGTGGATATTAAGAATCCAAATGAGTTACTAAATTCTGAATGAAGCATTAAGTAACCAAATAAAATTAGATTAATATTTAAAAAAACAAAGCAACAGATCAAAAAGGCTACATACCAGTACTCCCAAAGGTAGTATTCAACCCTTGTATCGATGTGTTAAGAAGTTTGATGTCTGTAAAAAAAAGAAGAAAGCAAAGAATCTAAAAAAACCAGAAACTTAAAAAGGATGGATTTATCTTGGATGGTTTACCATGGATGACAGCAGAATCCACGATGGGGGGCAGCGAAAGAGAGAAGTCTTGAAATGGGATAGATGAGTCTCCTGGGTCTCCCCCACTCGTGGAGCCGGAGTGGTCACCCATGGAAACCATTGAAAGAGCGGAAGTGACGGTGGGGGAGAGGAAGTGATTCGAACAGTGGGCACTAGTACAAAAAAGGGCAAAGGCACCAATTGTTTTATAGCTTTAGCATCGGTTTCGTACCGATGTAAATACCAGCGATGCAATTGGTCCATCTCAATTGCATCGCTTTGGAAACAACCGATGCCTTTGTTATTTTATTAATTTAAAAAAAAAGAGTATTAGCATCGGTTGTTTCTAAACAACCGATGTCTTTGAACAACCGATGCCTTTGTTATTTTATTCATTTAAAAAAAAGAGTATTAGCATCGGTTGTTTCTAAACAACCGATGCCTTTGCTATTATTTTAATTTAAAAAAAAGAGTATTGGCATCGGTTTTTTTCTAATCAACCGATGCCTTTGCTATACTATTTTTTTAAATATTAATAAAAACAGGGTATATACTGCATCACGAGTATACATAGCAGGATATGAAACTCTGGAGTTCCATATGGCGACATTAGAGGCTAAAGTAGTAACACAACACAAGCAGATTAGGCGTTACCTCCATGTTAAACCATTTAAGATGTGTGAAAATTTATGTATAACATTAATTAATGATTTGAATAGGCATAAATCACTTGGCCTCCCCACATATAGGTATGGGGAGTAAGAGAAGCAACAGTTGATGGAAAGAAGAGAGGTGTAGCAACAACACTATAATAAGTCTAAACCCAAAAAAGAGGATAGAACTTAATAAAGTTAAATGCATCTACTTGGCTTAACATCAAGAAGACTCATTGCCAAACCGGAAGAGAGCTTGTCCAATCACGATATAATGATGCAACTCGCGCCTCCTGGGAATTGAATGAAATGCAGAAAGCTGGTAATCGTATGAAACAAATAAGAAGCAAGAAAAGTCTAATGTGCAATATTGATTTAGTTCATTATCAACCTAGAGCTAAAGTATTGTAAACAATGACTTTTTTAGCAATGGGAACACAATGGGTGCTACTAATATTTGTAAAGTTCAAATTTCGATTTACAACAATTATCATGTTTAACTTGTACGGAGTAACATTTACCCACAACTTACAAGAAAAATTAGCTTCATTTTATAAAATAGGACACTTTAGGGACAGATTATTATGGGCACAGGGAGTACAAATCAAGCTCTTTCCTTCAAAAAATTTAACACTAGATTAACTAGGCATGGTAAAAACTGTACAAGCCAATTATTTTGTATGAAACTGAAACACTGACCAGGGAACGGTGGTAGCAGTTCGGGAAGCTGTGCTTTCTGGGTATTATTTTCTAGGTGGAGACCAGGGATCCATGGAGGGTTTCCTACTCTGTCTACAGGCATTGAGCATCCAATGTGATTGAAATCTGATCTTATGTGTGAACCTACAGACTTAAGTACAAACATATGGCAAAGCATATCAGTTTGAGCATTTTATGAAATTTAAGAGGGAGTGCAACAGATAATTATCAAAAGCAGTAAGAATTTAAAATGGTAGTGGGCATTTTAGTTATCTTTAACAGGGGAATAGGGCCTATCCAAATGGAACTAAACAGAACCAAAACCAAACCATATGTAATTTACTAATTTGGTTTTAAAAACTATCAAACTCAAACCTTTTCAAAAACTAAACAAAACTAAGCTTGCTTTTATTTAGGCAATCACTTCCCAAATCTTATCTGAACCAAACAAGCTGACCAAAAAGACCAAACCAAGCTCGAAATTCCGACCGACCCTTAGTGAAATCTGAAAAGTATTCCCACCCAATTTTGATGTTCATAGTGGTGGAGATATTGTCTTCAGTAATTCATAAATAAAAGATGCAAGTACTATCACAGTATATTACAAAGTAGATATGCATAAACTAAACTTTACTTTTAATGAAATTTATGGAAAACTGGAATTGGCTGTAGGATAGAGTAAAGAAAAAGGAATCCGTACCAAGAAAGATTATGTAGCACTCAAGCACCCGTGATGGCTACGAGATAATCTTCAAATAGATAGACTCCTACAATCAGAATGATTATATAGTTTTGCTTTGTCTACGAGTAGGCAACTTTAGCAGAAAACTTTCTTGATTGAAATTTGTTTGGACAACTGGAAATGTTCATTTTCTTCTCTCTAACGACTTCTCCGGGTCAGGTTATTTTCTATGTTATTTTGTGTTATATCTGCTCTCAAATTCGTCTTCCCTCACCCTCATTCCAACTGAAAGGGTCTTTTCGTCATACAAACTAATGCCAACATATCCTTGGAAAAGGTTGTCAAGTTCCCCTCCCCCCATCCACCCACCCACACACACCTGAGTACCACTACTAAGCATTATAAATTTATGAACCCGATTATGAATTCGCGAGTTGTGAGCGTAGAAATTCACACAGAAATTCAAAGAATAACTGGAGAATTGGGAAAATACCTCGTAGATAGGTTGATTTAGTTCGTCCAACTGGACCAGGACATCGATGGCGGAAACTAAATCCAGATTCCAGACGGAGACTAAGAGCAGTAGCAAACCCAGTGATAAATAAATACAAACACCATCACAGAGAGGTACACCTAAATCCCTGTGTTAAAATTAATTCATTAACGGATACAGAAAAGTGAAATTAAATCAAATTCAGCAACGAACAAGGAATCAAAATGGAAGGAGAACGCTAGAACTAACTCGATCCGCTCCTGGCTCCTTTTCCGGTTCTGTTCTTCTGGAGAAGACGTAGATGAAGGTGGCAAGAGCTGCTCCGAATCTCTCAGGTTGTCGTAGATGGGAATCAGCCAACGAAAAGAACGAAGAGAGGAAGGATCGGACATGCGATGTTCTTCTCGAGAAGGGAAGACACAGATGAAGATTGGAGATGTAAGAGGGCGAAATTTTAGATCTAAAATACTGGATTAGCATCGGCTGTACTTCCCCTTCCCACAAAAAAAGTTACTATTCACCATAAATTGGTCAAATTGTTGCACACTTTGACCATAAATCAAATATAATTTAAATAAAGAAATGCTAAAAAAAATTAGAGATATCAAAATTAGATCCTAATATGAATTCAATTATATAAAATTTATTTCATAATTCAATATACCTTTCTAACAATTTGTAGTCAAAGCGTGTAAATATTTGACTAAGTACTATTCAAAATGAAAACTTTTTTGTAGGACGGAAGGAGTACAAAACAATAGATGCCTTATTGCCTTCGTTACTTTTAGCATCGGTTGTAGTTAAAAACTGATGTGTTTGTTTTTTAGCCGGGGGAGGGGAAGATCCGAAGAGTGGGGAAGGGGGAGTGGCTGTGGCTAGCCCTAAAATAAAGTCTCTCATTCTTTTTATATGGCAACTAAAACAAAAGGACCATGCTATACTTACACCACAAAATATACCACATTTATACACCACAGGTTTGTACAAACATTTCGATGGTTTACACCGACACAAGTGTTGGTGCGTTAATAAAAATTCATACGAACACAAATATTGGTGCGCTTAACAAAAATTAGTTTTACACCAATACAAAATGTTGGTGCAAAATTGCGAGGTACAAATTGGGGTACAAAACTTGGGGTACACATAGCATAATCCAAAACAAAATTAATTTGACAAAAGAGCAGCTACTGAGTAACTATGTATATAGTACGGAGTAGTTTATATACCAATGAAATATGTGTATCTCATACTCCCCGTCCATAAATAATGTTCAGAGTTTGACTTGGCACGGAGTTTAAGAAAATATAAAAAAGCCTTTATTTTCCAGCTTAGCCCTTTGGTTAATAAAAATAAATCAATTAAAGGTAAAGGTGAATAAAGTTAAATAGTAGTGATTGGATAGATAAAGTAATGAAAATGATTAAAATATTGTTAAAGTACAAGTACAAATACAAAAGTGGGGTGGTTGGAGTAAATTAAAGTAGGTGGCGAGTGAAGGTATTAAAAGCATTTCACTTATAATTCTTTGCCTAATTTAGAAAGATAAACTTTATTTGTGGACGAACGAAAAAACAAAGTACAAACATTAAAAATGAACTAATGGAGTATTAAATGCCCACTCTAGCTTTTTTGATAACGTACAAAATTACACTTCTTACATCTCCAAATATTTGCAACATTTATTTTTTAGTAGTTGTGGAAATTTTTTACATTGTATTTATTTTTATGTTTTCATTGGTTTTTTTATAAAATAAAATACTCTTGACACCTTTTATTTTGAATAACTTTTCATATAGTTTTTTAATATATAAATTTATTTTTTATTCCTATACGAATATATCAATAAAATGAATTAAAAAAACTTGATATTTTACCTCGATAATTCAAGTGTGACAAATATTTAGGAACAGAGGAAGTAACTCTTTCAAATTTTGAAGTACAACTTACATACTCTCATCGTCTCAGTATATTTATTCAATTTGACTTATTCGAATCAAATTAGACAAATTTTGAGCTTTAATTAAATAAAAATTGTAATACATTGTATATTTTAACATAAAAATGATTTTATTGAATTAGTCATATAAAGAACTTTCAAAATTATACGTAGTATTTAGTTATGTCAACACGCAATACAAATTGAGGGTAATTGGAATTTTGAATTTATCAAGTTTGACTTGAAAAAAATCAGACCAGACAAATACTCTAGGACGGATGTGCTATTCAAAAATTATTTAATGGGTACTCCCTTCGTCCCACTATATTTGTCCACTTTTATTTTTGCACATCATCCAATGCCATTTTTAATCAATTTTATCTTGTAATTTGTATATTAAAAAAGTATAGAAATTATATATTAATAATCTATATGTTAAAACATATCAAACAAGATCACACATGACTATATTTAGACTTACACATTGAGAGAATTTGATGAGTCAAAGTGCTTAGATGAACAGTACAAAAGTCAAGACTGATTATTTAGGCCGTTACTTTGAATATACAAAAACAGGATACCATTAATTATAATTATTGATTTTTTTTTCATTTTTAATTTTTTTTCTTTTATTGTATTTGTAGGGTGGAGTCGTGGAGATGGAGACATGGAGTAATACAAATCGTGTATCTCTACCATTTTTTAGACAAAAATATTCTCTACACTGTTTCATACTGTGTACAAAGTAAACTTCACCTGTACTGCAGCACTCTATTACCCAAGCAAATCCCCATAAAAGCATTCAAAATAGAAAATACTCCGTACATTTACTTCTTGTCACATCTTTAGTTCTTGGAGGGGTCCCCATCCGTTTAAGATCTCTATTTCCAATTCTCTCGTGTCAAGTGCCGTTTCTCATTCTTGTTCCAAGAATATAATTTAAATTTTGATTAAAAAATTAATGAGTAAAAAAAAGATACTCTTCCGTTCTTAATTCGATTACAATTTTTTTCTCTTTTCTCAATTTTTTTGTTTATGTTATTTCATTAAGTATTTGATAAAATAAAATATTCTTATCACTTCTTATTTTATACTCCTCATCTCAGAATATTTATCCATTTTCATTTTTACACATCATTTTCATTATAGAAATTATATATTAATAATTTATATGTTAAGACAAATCAAACAAGATCACACATGATTATATTTATGCTTACACATTTCCTTTTTTAGTATGCTTTTTAAGGCTAAATATCAATTATACCTTTCTATTTTATCACAAATCTACTTTTTAATATTTTTTTAGTAATAAAAAGATATTTAAAAGTTTATGGTAAGTGCATTTTTGAAAATTTTGCATTTTTTAAACTATTCCTTAATAAGCGTGCCAAGTCAACACGGGAAGAAAATTTCCGGACGGAGGGAGTATTCTCTTTCTTTAGAAAAACATACACAAACATAATTTTTTACTCTATATGTTTTTATTTAATATAATATTTTTTGTTTAAATTTCCTATTAGTAATGAATTTTTTTGTTTTTCTTAAATTTAAGATACTTTTTATTGAATATATTTTTTATTTAATGATTTATTTCAGTTTGCAATATGTTACTACAACTCGGGTTTGAATAAAGATATTTTTAATCGCTCGAATAATTAGAAATTTCTTTATAGTGTCTTATGCAAGCCTTTGTTTGAAGACCCGTGGCTTCAAAACCATTTCCACCGAATTTGTGAGATAAGTTAAAGCTGATGTAGTAGAGAAAGAAATTTTGAAGTCCTAATTAAAAGCCTCGAGTTTCACACTATTTTTAAACTAATAGTGTTTTCAATTACATGAAACTAGTATCAACTCCATGCTTCGCAGAGATTCACATATATTCCAAGTTTTAACATATAAAAATAAAATAGTGTTTGTTTTAAATTCTTTAATAATTAACACACACACAGATATATATATATATGGGTTCTGCTGCCATTGGAAATTAGTGGCATTAGAGCATCTCAAACCCAAAGGCTATATGTTAAATTTTACACTTTTTACCATTTATTTTAAAATTTTGCCACTCCAATTAGGGGTGGGTTCGGTTTTGGCGGTTCGGTTTTTACCCAAAACCAAAGACAAAACGGAAGGTAAATTGGCAGTTCGGTTCGGTTCGGTTTTGCATAAAAAATATGTAAACCGTTGGTTATTCGGTTCGGTTTTATGCGGTTTTTATTTTAGTTTTTTTCGGTTTTTTTGGTTTATAACAATAAATACTTATAAGCATTAAAAATTGTCTAAATACTAACTCGATGAAGCAATAACAATACGTAAGTTTGGGGTTGGTTTTTTACTTGATTCTTACACACACAAAAAATGCCGAACGGAAGGTTAGTGTTTTATTCAGTTCAATTTTACATACAAAATATGTGTCAAGTGCCTAAAAAACATCTAGGAGATTCCGAATAGTCCTAAAGATATCGTATGTTAAATCAACTATAGAGAATTTATGTTTGGGAGAAGGATCAAACTAAGAGTAAAACTTATGCAATATTCTTAAATAGGAGCTAAAACTTAAACTCCTCTAAATAGGAGTAATTAATTAATTTTTATCCTCAATTCTCTCTTCTCACGCTCTCTCCTCTTCGTTGTTTTTTTTGCTTGCATGCGTGTGTATTTACACACTTAAAAGGGGGCTGGGCATTAGGCCATTAGGACACTGATTAAAAGGGGGTAGGAATTAGAATAGATTAGGACACTGATTATTTATTATTATTATTATATGATAAAATATTTATATTTATTTATTGAATTATAACATCTATTTTATTCATAACTTTTTACACCAAAGTTTAAACTTAACAAACTTTATGCTATTAGTCACCTTTTTACAAGATCAACCTAATTACCTATTTTTTGAATTAAAAGGTTAGCTTTACAAATAGTTTATGTTTTTGAAGCAAAATAAAATAAGACATTATATTTATTTTTTTATCAAAATAACAGCTAACTACTAAACCGGCTAATTTTTTACCCAAAGTTAAAATATTGTCAATAAATGATTCTTTTAACTACATCGTCAAGGGGCGACAACAAAATCACACCCAAAGCTCAGTACCATAAACAAATATGGTTATTTCTACCTTCCTCCTGAATCTTTATATGTGTATCCTAATTCACAATTCAAATACTCTGATTTGATGATTTGACATTCTTAGGAATAGAAAAAAAACTTGATAAACATGACCTTTAAGTGTTGCCTCAAGCCCATAAAATGTCAAACAAGACCGCATTTAATGCCAAAATTCTTAATCAATAAATCTATGAGACTTAATTAATACCTTGTAGATATATATCAAAATTCTTAAGCAATAAATAGAAACTTAGTAAATTATTACAGTAAAATGTATATACAGTGTCAACCAAGACTACATTTAACGCCACACATAGATGCATAATGACAATCATGCATTGTATAAAGTCATACATGCAAATGCATAATGCTAAACCAAGAGATAATGCCAAATATGACAATATATAGTGGCACATTTGGCAATGTATAATGACAGGTATGCCAATGTATAATTTTACATATAACACATATGTTAATGCATAATCTCAAAAAAATTAAACATCAAGAAAACTCTATTTGCCAACACAATAATCATTTAGTTTCAATATTAGTTTTACAAAATAATTTTCTAAGAAGTAAAATTAGATTTAAAACCAAATGTCACAACCTATGTGATATTGAATATAAAATTGATTAAAAGTTTCAAACTCACGCAAGGATAAAAGAATTAGTACCAATTTTACAAAATAATTCCCGAAAACGTAAATTTTTAGATTTAAAATTGAATTTGACTACTTATGTCAAATTAAATATCAAATTGAATTCAAACTTACCTAAGGGGACGGAGGCATCCGAGCGATGAAAAATAAAAATGATGGATAGGGATGGAAGAAGATTGTGTGTATGAGAGAAAAGGAGATGATGGAGAGTGCGGTGGAATTATTACCGCATAGAGAAGATGATACCGGTGGAGAAGGGATTGAGATTGAGTTGACAGCATCAGCAACTGAGATTAAAATGAGGGAGATCGTAGAAGGATAAGATTGGGAAGGGGTCGAGTGACTTTTTCGATCGCATAGGGCTAGGATGTGGTGTGGTTAGTGCGAAAGAATATATCAAAACAAAATTTAATTAATTACTCCTATTTAGAGGAGTTTAAGTTTGAACTCCTATTTCAGTCATCTTGATTTATAGTAAATTTTTATTGAATCATTAACAAAATTGAATCAACAAAAAATAACAAATTTGAATGTAAACAAAATTAATTCAATAACAAAACACATCCAAAACTTCATCAACAAAAATGAATCAATACCTACATATAGGAACGTAGTAAATTTCTAAATTAAAATGTACATACAGTATCAAAAAAGATCACGTCAAATGTCACATGTAATCATATAATGACAATCATGCCAATGTATAAAGTCATACATGCGAATGCATAATGCTAAACAAAATAACAAATTTGAACGTAAACAAAATAATTTCAATAACAAAACACACCCAAAACTGCATCAACAAAAAATAAATCAATACCTTACATATAGAAACGTAGTAAATTGCTAAATTAAAATGTCCATACAGTGTAAAAAAAGGTCATATTAAATGTCACATGTAATCATATAATGGCAATCATGTCAATGTATAAAATTATACATGTGAATGTATAATGCTAAACAAATTAAATAGATAATGACAACCTTGACATTGTATAATATCATTCCTGGTAATGTATAATGAAATATATCAATGTATAATGTTAAATATCACAGATATTAATGCATAATGTCACAAATGGATAAATATCAAATAACTCTATCTTTTGCCACAAGTTTGTTTAATGAGTATTGAGAGTCCAAATTGGGTTGTAAGCCCAACTTTGGGTGTGCGGCCAACTTCTTTGTGCGGCTAGGAGGTTAATCAAAATTTATATTTAATTAATTACTCTTATTTAGGGGAGTTTAAGTTTGAACTCCTATTTTGAGGATATGATCCATATTTTACTCCTATTTAGGGGATTTTCTTTTTATGTTTTTTTATATAATACTTTTATTTACAATAAAACATCAAAGTTTTTTTTACGTAAATATGTTAACTACTCATATTAATTTTTAATGTTATATAATTCTATATTAGAATTAGTATATCTTAGACTTTTTAAAGTTTATAACATGGTTAAAATGTTGAATTAATAGTTAATTAAAAAACTTTAATCAACTAGTAATATATTAGTATGTTTGTTTTTATGATTTTTATACATATCACATATACTCATATACATAAAAAAAGCATATAAATAAGTTTGGTTTATTCGGTTCAGTTCGGTTTTTCAAAGTAAAAACCAAAACGGAACCAAACAATAGTGGTTCGGTTCGGTTTTTTTACTTTCGGTTTCGGTTTTTTCAGTTCGGTTTTTTTTCTAGCTCGTTTCGATCGATTTCGGTTCGGTTTTCGGTTTTCGGTTTTTCCGACCCAGCCCTAACTCCAATAGAGAGGGTAAACTAAAGTGTAAAGACCAATGTAGTGTAAAAAGATTGAGGCATAGTGTATATTTACACTATAACTATAGATTGTGTAAACAATTAAAAAATTAATTTTTATTTCTCTTCCTTTTTGTTCACCCCATTGCTCTTCCCTTATGTTCACCCCTTTACTTGCTCTTCTCCTTGTTTTTCATCATCTGTATTTGCACTCCAATGGAGCCAAAGTTGTTGATCTCTACATCTTTTTCTTCCGGTAATGTTTTTTTGTTCTTCTTCTTCTTCCTCTCTAAACACTTTTTTAGTCGTATTTATTTAGTGCTATCCGTCTAATGTTTAGCGCAAAATACATAAATGTGATCATAATTAATCATCAACTATTTTTACAATGAAGTATTCTAATTTAATTTGAAGATTTTAAAGTAATAAAATATTATAAAAATGTATAATATACTCCGTAGAAGATGTGGTTGGAATGAATATAAAAAAGTAAAAGTGTAAAACACTGTTGATAATGTAAATTTAGATTTACACTACCATATTTTGCACTATGGGTTGGAGATGCTCTTAGTGGCTACTCTTAATCATAGCCACTCATCTCAGATACTCTGTAATTTTTGTTTACTCACTTATTACTCCAAAATCCAAATAACGCTGTCTCCCTCTGTTTTCCGTCAGGATTCACCATCACCCTCTCAATCTCTCATAGACCTCTTCGATTCCCCATTCCCAGCCCTCTTCACCATCTCGATTCCCCCAATCTCTATAGCCATTAAGGCAGGCGCAGGATAAAGAATGAGCCAGGAACATAGTCCAACGCACTCAAATCGGTAATTGTTAACCCTAGATTAATTTTGATTTATTTGTTCCAGTTTGTGCGAAAGGAGTTCTTGAGTTCTTTTTTTCAAAAGGAATTTGCAATCATAGTTTCTGCAAATTTACACCCCCTGTGCGAAACAAGTTTTGAGCCAGGTTCTTTAATTTACAAAAGTAATTTTTCCACCACGTACGAAACAAGTTTGCAATCATGATTTCTGCAAATTTTTTCATTTTGCAAGGAGTTCTGAAAAGTTTTCAATTTTACTTTATTTTTTTGAAAATTTTTCTATGTGATTTTTCTACAAATGTTTCTGCAATATTTTTTTTGTGCGATTCTGCAAATTTTTCTAGTTGAGATTTTTAAATTTGCAATAGTTTTTTTGGTGTTATTCTAACCATTGTTTCTGCAATTCATTTATTATGTAGTTTTTTAAGCGATTCTGACCATTGATTTGTTATCCCTTTTTTAGGAGCGAAATAGAGCAAAGTTCAAATCTACAAACGATACTTTATGGAACGAATTGGTCATTTTCCACTCATACGAAGGTGATGAATGAAAGGTCGAAAGTGGTCTAAAGCAATTGCACCGGTGGTTGGCATGTGTTTTGATAGTGTTCAAGCATTTGATAAATTCTACAATGCGTATAACCTAGCAAATGGATATCATACAAGAAAACACACGAGTAGAGAGAACGACTACTTTAGGTGGGTGTGTCATAAAGTAGGCTTCCACAAGGCAAAACCAAGCTACAAGGTATGGGAAGAATCAGAAGCATATGGAATTTGCCGTATTGCCGTATACAAGAAGCACGAGTAAAGTAAAGAGAATGACTACTTTAACATATATTGAGAGCATACGGTCCAAAGCAGAAGCATATGGAATTTGACGTATTGTACCTCCTACCTCATGGAAACCTCCATGTCCCCTCAAGGAGAAGAAGGTATGGGAAGAGTCAGAATTTAGCACTCGTATACAAAGGATTGACAAACTTCAGAATCGAGATTCAATAACAAAAAAAGCAAAAGCTAATCATTATAAGAAAAGGAAGAGGAGAAGGTTCACTAAAGCTAACAATACCAAGACCCACTGCGATGCTGAAAATGACGAGTCTGAGGAGAAATTTGGATTTGAAACTGGTCCGGACTACACTCTAGATTCATTTCAGAAATATGCCGGTGATTTCAAGGCCCAATACTTTGGAAAGAATGAAGGTAAATGGGAGCCGTCAGTGGAAGATATTGAGGGTGAATATTGGCGCATGATCCTGAAACCCACTGAAGAAGTTGAGATATCTTTTTCTTCATTCTTTTTGTATAGTGTTTATAGATTTGATTTTATTTGCTTATGACATTATATAACTCAAAAACTTCATCTGTCCATACCACTTTTTGCTTGCTAGGTTCTTTATGGGGCTGATTTGGAAACTGGAACATTTGGCAGTGGGTTTCCAAAACAAGTACATCAAATCAGCTCTGCTGCTGAGATGAAATACATAAAATCAGGATGGAACTTGAACAACTTCCCAAAACTCCCCGGTTCAGTTCTTTCATATGAGAGCAGTGATATTTCTGGCGTTCTTGTGCCTTGGCTGTATGTAGGAATGTGTTTTTCTTCATTCTGCTGGGTATGGAACTAATGAAGTTAATAATTATTGCTTGAATTTCACTAGCTAGATTGCTTGTTATTTTGCTGGTTTGAAGTTCTTAATGCTCATGTTTGATGTTACAGCATGTTGAAGATCACCATCTGTACTCTTTGAATTACATGCATATGGGATCTCCAAAATTGTGGTATGGTGTTCCTGGGGCAGATGCTTTGAAGCTGGAAGCTGCTATGAAGAAACATTTGCCATCCCTCTTTGATGAACAGCCGGATTTGCTTCATAAGCTTGTGAGAGCATCTATCTGCAGCTTTACACACAACACACATACATACATATCCCCAATATCCTCCATTGATTAGAATTTAGTTTCTCTCTTCTGTCTTATGTACTTATTTATTGTCTCTTGTCTTCTGTCTCTGTACTTATTTTAGTCTCAATGAAAAATCAATTTGGTTTGCTCATGTCATTTGACTATATTTATATGAAAGATCTTCCCTTCAACTTTTTTGTTTTTTATGCAGGTCACACAACTCTCTCCTTCCATACTCAAGTCTGAAGGAGTACCTGTATATCGATGTGTTCAGAACTCTGGGGAATTTGTTCTCACCTTCCCTAGAGCTTATCATGCTGGTTTCAACTGTGGATTCAATTGTGCTGAAGCAGTAAATGTAGCTCCAATGGACTGGTTACCTCATGGACAGAATGCTATAGAGATCTATTCAGGTCAAAAGCGCAGGACGTCCATTTCACACGACAAACTCTTGCTTGGCGCTGCAAGGGATGCTGTCAGAGCACAATGGGAACTTAGTTTACTGAGGAAGAATACTTCAGCTAACTTGAGATGGAGAGATGTTTGCGGAAAAGATGGGGTTTTGTCTCATGTGTTAAAGGTGATTGCTTGTTTTGCATGTTATTTTTTCCCTATATATGTCCCGTTTTTTTGGGCCTATTTTTTTATGTATTTTTTCAATGAGTTATATCTGAGTGACTGAGTCTGCTATTTTGTGTGATATACATATGTTAGTAGTTGGTTATTGCTGAGCATATATGTGTACGGTAAACTCATTGCTTGAGAACCATTTTGGAGTGAGTTTGACTCATTTTAACATGATATCATAACTTGGACTGATGGTGTTTTGTGGGGCATTGGCCCATTGCATCAATGGGTTGGGACATCCTAGTTGAGGTTGGTTTAAGTTCCTTTGTCCATCCTTTCAGTTGTCCAACATCATATGAGGCCATAAGGTGTGGTGAGTGTACCGAGGTAGGTTTTTTACTAGGCTTGAGTCTAGTCCAGTGCACAAGCTGTGAGGTAACCTAGGTAAGTCTATGCAGAGTTCTTTTAACGGTTATAAAATTAGAGAAATAAGTGAAAATATAAAGGCAGATTAATCCTTCTTTATAAAATCAATCAAATAGATTTATGCTATGATGTGTGCGAAATATGCAATGAAGACAGGAAAATCATGGTGCTGATAGTTTCTTTCTTCTTTTTTGTTAGAGTCGTGTTGATACAGAACGGGTGCGGAGGGAATTTACTTGCAGTTCCTCAGACATTAAAGATGGAAAGCACTTTCGATGCAACTTGTGAGAGGGAATGCAGCATATGCTTCTTTGATCTGCATCTCTCTGCAGCTGGGTGTCACAACTGCTCACCAAAAAAATATGCATGCTTGAACCACGCAAAACAGCTGTGTTCATGTCCGGATGCTTCCAGATTTTTCTTATTTCGTTACGATATCACCGAGTTAAATCTGTTGGTAGAAGCTTTGGTAAGGAAACTTAGTTCAATATATCGATGGGCAAGGCAAGATCTTGGTCTCTCCATGAGTTCATACCTAAACAACAAAGAGTTAACCAAACCAGTTAACCAAATTCAAGTTGATCATACTTCTGAAAAGTGTCCATCAAACAAAACAGTTTCTACAGAAAGCAAGCCCAGAGTAAGAGCTTCTGTTCCCGGGGATGATGATGATGTTATCGTTCTTAGTGATGATGAGAATGAGGAGACGGGGACAACAGTTGTTGGGAATTCCCAAGGGGGTACAAGTTGTGCTCTAGAAAGTTCTGAGGGTTCTCATAGTGCTGAGAAAGTGGGTGTAGATGTAAAGTCAAGGTCAATGGATTTTGCACAAGCATCATTACATCCTCAAGTTAATGCTGATGGATGTTTCAGAAAAAAAGGCCCTCGTATTGCTAAAGTGGTGAGAAAAATGAATTGCAATGTTGAAGTTCTTGATTATGGAGTTATTCACCCGGGAAAGTTATGGTGTGATGTTCGTGCCATTTACCCAAAGGGTATGTTCCTTGAACTTGGACTGCTCTTGGAGTCCAATTGAGTTATATACATTCAACATTTAATTGATTAGCTTCTAAGTTTTTTTTGTTTTGTGCAGGATTTAGGAGTCGCACCAGATACATAAACGTTTTAGATCCAACCAGCACATGCAATTATGTCTCTGAAATTCTGGATGCTGGACATTATGGACCTTTGTTTATGGTAATTAATAATGTCATGCAATCATAGTTTAGTACACACTGTGCTGCAGAGATAGGCATTGTCATTACACATGTAGGCAATAGATGTATAGAGAACAGATGGTTAGGTTACAAACGTTACTTTGAGCTCATAATAATTGGCTTTACTTTCAGGTCTCCTTGGAGAATTGTCCGAGTGAAGTTTTTATTCAGTTGTCCGCAGGAAAATGTTGGGAAATGGTATTGGAAAGACTTAACCGACAGATTGCTACACTATGTAAGATGGGTAAAATAAATCTTCCTCCCCTCCAACCTCCTGGAAGCTTTGATGGCTTGGAAATGTTTGGACTTTCTTCTCCGACAATCGTCCAGGTAAGCCCTTCCAAGCTTAGATGGCATGGAAATGTTTGGTCTTTCTCAGGCTCATTTCTTCAGGGAATTTTTTAACTAGCCAAGGTTCTTGTTAACAGGATGGAATTTATTTTTCCCTGATACTTTTTTACACAATGGAACAACATTTCATCTTTTAAAAAAGAAAAAACTAAATACAATGACACAAGGCAAACTTATGAAACTGCAATTAAGTATGTCGACACATAACTTGTTACTGCTTAGTAAACTGAAGTTGTCTTGTAACAGGCAATTCAAGACATGGACCATGATAGGGCGTGTTTGGAGTATTGGAATTCACGGCCATCTGAGGAGATTCAACAAGGGTCTGCTGTGTTTGGGCCTTTGGGGACGACCAGAAACCAAAACCAGGAGATGAGGGTGGTAGATCATTACTTGGTCTCTTTAAGAAGGCCAGCGACGAAGAACTTGAAGCACTACACCGTCTACTACAAAGCCATCCCTCATCAACCGATCGAGGCTTAGTGGCTCGGCTTCTAAACGACGAGATCCATAGGCCTAAAGGATGATCCTCTATTTTGAAAACATGGGTATAGTTTTTTCTTTATATATTTTTTTTTGGTTAAAGATGGGTTTTTTACATACTTTCTCCGTCCCGAAATGTTTGCATCATTTACTTTTTCGGTGTTGCAGGAACTTTTGTTTATTTCTACGTTTTCATTGATTATTTGATAAAATAAAATATTCTTGACACTCTTATTTCGAAGAACTTTTCATGTAGCTTTTTGATATGTAAATTTTATTTTTTATTTCTATACCAATATGTAAATAAAATGAATTGAAGAAACTTGATATTTTGCCTCGAGAATATAAGTGGCAAATATTTAGGGACGGAGGAAGTAGTAAAATCTGAGCCCCAATTTTGGTCATTCATGATGGATTTGCAGGGTGATTTCCCTCTGCATATGTAAACACATTGCAGGAGCTTCCTTTATATGTAAATTTAATATACACTTTCCCAAATAATACTGATCGGAGTTGGCTACTCCGTTTCAGTCTTTATTATTGACCCAAACGGAGTTGGCTACTCCGTTTCATCTATTTAATTACCAAACGGAGTTGCTTACTCCGTCTAGCTTTTTTGTTCCAATTTTATTGTTCCAAATGGAGTTTGTTGCTTTGTTGATCCCTTTTTTGTTCCAATTAATTTGTTCCAATTTTTTTTTTCGAATTTTTTTTCCAATTTTATGTTCCAATTGCAATTTTCTTAATCAAAAGGTTGTTTTTTGTTTCAATTTTTTTCCTTTAAACCTTTCTAACTTTTTTAAAAATATTTTATTAAATATTTTTTTAATTTTTAGTTTCTCAACGAAATCAATTAATTTTTGTTATTTAGAAATTATTTATTATAAAATAATTTATTAAAATATTTTAATTAAAAAATAGAGGAAACATATACAAAAAGAAAATATAGATGTAAAAAAATATACTACAAAAAATTAGGTATAAAAATACAATAACCATATTTTAGTTAAACGAATCTCGAATTCATATGTGAATCTTTTTTGCGACTTGTGTTTTGTAAAATTTTATGGTAAATGAACTTCTTAGCTCCATAAGTTGAATGTTTTCCTTGAGATTTGTTATAGAGTACTGTAAATGTTTATGTCTTGATGTTCTTGTTTGTTATTTTCATAAATATTAGGATTGTTTAAGCGCAATAAACAACTTTAATTTCGATTTAATGAAAATATGTAATGTTCTTTTATGTGAATAGACTAAAATTTTTATGCTTGAGTTGTTCAAGGAGACTTTTAAAATATTTTCATCATTAAACGTTAAAATTTACTAAAGTGAATAAATATTCTTCATGAATAATTTGTGCATAAGAGTTAGAAGGAACGAAAGATTCGCTCTTTTATAAATTTTTTTCATATTTGAATTATTATTTGAGCGTTTGAGGTGAGTGGGGGTTCAAAGTGATCTAAAAGTTCTTTGAATTCTTGACTCTGGGTATGTGGTCAAAGATATGAATCAACTCGAACCTTTGAATTCTTTTCCCCCATTCTATCAAAAAAACCAAAAAAAAAAAGAAAAATATAAAAAACCAAAAAAAAATTTACTTTTTATCCAACCCCCTTTTCTGTTTTAAGTTATAATATACGGAGTAAGTTTTTACTAAATTATGTTATAAGTGTTTTGTTCTATGTTATATCATAAGTTCTTTGTCATATTCATAAGTTTTTATATTAATTTATTTATAAGTTTTATTAAAAGTTTTATATGTCTTATTATATGAGTAGTAGGAATAGCGAGACTGAATGACCTTAAATCGATAAGAAATAAAAATTACATATTAAAAAACTACGTCAAAAGTTCTACAAAACAAAAGGTGACAAAGATATTTTATTTTATCAAATACTTAATGATATTGCGTAAACGGACAAAAGTTATCGAGAGGAAAAAAAGTTGTAATCAAGTTGGGGATGAAGAGAGTATATATTTAATTAAAAGGTCAAATTCAATGGAATATTTTTAAATACTTAATCAAATAACTAAATTTTAACAAATTCATTCAAAAAAGTTACTAAATAAATACTTTACTCCGTATTATTTTGGAAAAAAGCTTTTGATAAATTAAAACAAAGTTTATTCTTATTGTAATCTTTAGTATAATTTGTCAAATTCAAGATTTTTATCAAAATTCTTACCCTCACCATCTCGGATGATTTTTTCAATTTTTTAGGATGACTGTTTATGTAATGATAGTAAAGAAATTTATTAAAAATGACATCGTTATTAGTTTAGTTAAAGAGTTCTTATAAAACAAAATTACTTTAAAAAATTTTAAACAAATATTCAATAGCATAGTTATTCGATTAATCTATGAAAAGTATCCTAATAACTTTGACATTATAATTAAATTTATCTTGACAAAAAAGGATAAGTTAATATTGTACAAAGTATCACGTAATAAATAATTTAGAAAAGAGGTAAAATGTACAAAAAGCTTTAGAGAAACTGAAAACAAAATTATAACTTTTACAAAAATCAAAATATATATTTAAATTAGCGGAGGACTAATGGCGAAAGTAATGAATTTACGAGGATGATTTAGTTTTAAAATATTTTGGAGGGATCAAAAGTAAAAATGTACCAATTTTACAAGGACCAAAAATATAATTAATACTTTTAAATTTTATACTTACAATCAAATAAGTTAAATTGCAAGTAAAGTCAATCAACTATCATAATCTGCAAGGGGTAATTCAAATTGAGATGGAGGGAGTATTGGTCATCCAAATGATTTGAACAAGCATTATATTCATCTTTAAGAAATTTCAAGATTAAAAAAATACAAGAAAAAGACAAAAAAAAATTGCAAAGTAAAGATGAAAGGATTGGGAAGCACTACAAAATACTACGGAGTACTACGGAGTGTGGAGCCAAAAAAATGAGAAGGGCATTGGTTTCAATTTAAAAAGAGATGGAGAAGTGTGGAGTGTCATTAGCATATTTGGAGTGTAGATATCAATTGCCTTTGAAAAGTCATGAGAAAGATTCAGAGCATATTAGTATTTGCAATCTACTCCGTACTTGGGAGTGCATGACAATATTAGAGCAAAGGCAGTGGCAAGGTAAAAAAAATTGCCACACGATAACATGTAACTCTTCAACCAATTAGAAATAGTCCAGTCAGCGTGTGGCATGGGAGAGGAGTAACATTCCATGCAATGACAAGTCAATGTTTTATCACTTTTTATACTTTTTTTTGATATATTTTAATTATAAAAAATATTTTTATTTATCTTTTTTTATAAAAATAGATGTACTTTTTATAAAAAAATTCCTCTTTATTGTACAAAAAAGAAAGAAATAAAAACAAATTTAAAAAAAAAGAAATTGGGAAAGAAGTGCCTTGCTCATGACTCTCAAACCATGGAGGAATGGGGATGCCATGCAAGGCATTACGAGAAATTGGGGTGATGTGGCAGGGCGTGGGAGGCAATGCCTCGCCACGGCCTTTGCTCTTAAGTCTAACTTAAAAATTCAATGGATGTACATAAGACAACATTAAGGAGTATACATCTACTCTAAAATTTGTACTTCATTTGCACACCAAAGTTATGCATTAATATTTTGATGGTTCATATCGACACAAAGTATTGGTATATTAACAAAAATTTACACCGACACAAAATGTTGGTGTGTTAACAAAAATTAGCATTACACAAATACAAAATGTTAGTGCATCTCTGCGGTGTACAAAATGCGTACAAATAGCTTCGTCCCAACATTAATCATCACTACAAGTTTAAGTGCATTTAGAGCATGGGCAATGACAAGTAGAAAATGGAATGTCACACGATGACGTGAAATATTTTAATCAATCAAAACCAGCCCAATCAGTGTGTGGTAAGTGTATGGAGTGACATGCTTTAGAGTGGAAAATAATTGTTTTTGTCAATTTTTACATTTTTTAAACATATTTTAATTATAATAATTATTCTACTTATCTTTATTCAAATCTGAGTTTTAGTAACATATTGCAAACTGAAATAATTCATTAAATAAACAATATAGTCAATAAAAAAATATGTTAAATTTAAAAAAACAAAAAATTTCATTACCTAAAGGAAATTTAAACAAAAAAATACTCAATATTACATTAAATAAAAAAATATAGAGTAAAAAAATTATGTTTGTGTATGTTTTTTTAAAGAGAAAAAATATAAAGATTTAAAGTCCGTTAGAGTTTTGAAGCACAAGAGATGAAGCCCCAAGGGGGTAGTGTTTGAAGCCCTTTGGCGTTAAAAGGGACAATAACACATAGACGTTATGCCCATTACTAGAGCTCTTACTACTCTCTAAATCTCTAAATAGACTACAAATTGTGGGTTGTGAAGAAAATTTTTCTACTTTTTGAAATTATTTTATTTATAAATTACTATATCCATAAGATATAAAAATTAGATTTTAAAAAACTACGTCAAAAGTTTTACTCCCTCTGTCCCCCAGTTTTTTGTCTACTTTTGACTTTTGGAACAGTTCATCTAAATACTTTGACTAATCAAATTCTCTTAATGTGTAAGCCCTAATATAGTTATGTGTGATCTTGTTTGGTTTGTTTTAACATATAAATTATTAATACGGAGTATATAATTTCTATGATGAAAATGATGTGTAAAAATGAAAAATGGACAAATACTCTAGGACGGGATTACAAAATAAGAAGTGATAAGAATATTTTATTTTATCAAATACTTAATGAAATCGCGTAAACAAACAAATCGAAAAAAAGAGAAAAAAATTAGAATCTATTTAAGGGCGGAAGGAGAATGCATTTTTATTACTCATTAATTTTTTAATTAAAATTTGAATTACTCCGTATGTCCTTGGAACAAGAGAATGCGAAACGACACTTGAAACAAGAGAATGGAAAATAGAGCTCTTAAACGTAAAGGGACCCCTCGAAGAACTAAAGATGTGACAAGCTGAATAATGGTTACCCGTTACAAGCTGAATAATGAACTGGCAATAGTTATGTGCCTTGAAAAAGGTGAAGTTTACTTGTACGCAGTAGGAAACAGTGTAGAGAAAATATTTTGTAGGGATACTCTATTCGTAGTCCTCCAACTCTACAAAAAATACAAAAAAGAAAAAAAAATTAAAAATGAAAAAAAATCAATAGTTTTAATTAATGGTATCCTGTGTTTGTCTATTTTTTTATTTTTGGAACTGTTTATCTAAGCACTTTGACTCATCAAATACTCTCAATGTGTAAGCCTAAAAATAGTCATGTGAGATCTTATTTGATTCGTCTTAACATATAGATTATTAATATATAATTTTTATAATTTTTTAATATATAAATTACAAGATAAAATGGATTAAAAATGTGTATTGGAGGAAGTAATTTTTAAATACTACATTCGTCCTAGTGTATTTGTCTGGTCTGATTTTTTCAAATCAAACTTGATAAATTTTGAATTCCAATTACCCTTAATTTGTATTGCGTGTTGACATAATGAAATACGGAGTATAATTTTGAAAGTTCTGAATACGAAAAATTCAAAAAAGTTATTTTTATGTTAAAATATACTCCGTATTACAATTTTTATTTAATTGAAGCTCAAAATTTGTCTAATTTGATTTTAAAAAAGTCAAACTAGATAAATACACTGAGACGATGATAGTATGTAAGTTGTACTTTTATTTATATACGAAATTATAAATAATTTACTTCAAAATTTGAAAGAGTTACTTCCTCTATCCTTAAATATTTGCAAACTTAAATTATCGAGGTAAAATACCAAGTTTTTACAATTCATTTTATTTACATATTCGTATAGGATTAAAAAATAAATTTATATACAAAAACTACTGAGTATATGACAAATTATTTAAATAAAAATATTAATAATATTTATTTTATTAAATAACCAGTGAAAACGTAAAAATAAATAAAAAATTTCCACAACTGCTAAAAAACAAATGTTGCTATAATTTTATACGTTATCAAAATAAAAAGCAAGTGGCCATTTAATATGAGATTCTCCGTACATATTTCATGGGTATATACTGTTGCCATATATGAAAAGAATGAGAGACTTAGGGCTAGTTACCCTAGCCGCCACCTCCCTCTCCCACTTTTCTTATCTTCCACAGTTCTTATCTTCCCCTCCCACACTGTTCGAATCACTTCCGCTCCTTTCAATATGGGTTCCACGGGTGACCACTCCGGCTCCACCAGTGGGGGAGAACAAGGAGAGTCATCTATCCCATTTCAAGACTTCTCTCTTCCGCTGCCCCCCTACATCCTGGATTCTGGCTGTCATCCATGGTAAAACAACATCCAAGATGAATCCATCCTTTTTAAGTTTCTGGTTTTTTTAGATTCTTTGCTTTCTATTTCTTTTTTTTTTTTTTTGCAGAGATCAAACTTCTTAATACATCGATTCAAGGGTTAAACACCACCCTTGAGAACACTGGTATGCAGCCTCTTAGATCTGTTGCTTTTTTTAAAAAGTGGATCTAATTTTATTTGGATGTTTAATCCTCCATTCAGAATTTAATAATTCATTTCGATTCTTAATGTCCAATTTTATTGGTTTTCATTTTTCCTTCATTTTCAGAGTTTTTGAGCCTAAACTCTACCATTGAGGGGCTTAAATCCTCCGTTCAAGGGCTGAACACCTCCATTCAGGGGTTGAATGGAAGTGCAGAGAAGCTCAGTTCAGATCTGAACCCAAGTAAGTATTTTTTGCTCTTTTGAAAATTATTAGGACCAATGTAGAGATTTTATTACACAAAAAAGAAAGTATTACACCACATAATTCACTGTCTACAAACAAAAAAACCCCAAACTTTTTATATTCCATTTTTTATATCCACTCCAACTTTGTCTTTTATTAATACACCTTTATCTTATTTTATCATTTTTAGTTTTTTAATTGTGATAACGTATATAGTTTTAAAAATTCTGATGACATATACGGAGTAGATTTTAAACTATTGTTATCGAGTTTTAAGAAACAAGAAAAAAAATTAGTTAAATAAGTAAAAAAATGTACTGCAACATTTTTGTAAAAATTATTTACAAGAGTATTTGAAAGAGTACTATTAAGTTACTAACGGTTAAACATTTTAAATAAATTATACTCCGTATTTGATAAGAAAAATAATTAAAACTCCAGAACATTCCTAAGCTACTGCCTTAGACTTTCAAGGTATATTATTTTAATGTACATTCTTAATTCGTAGTTGACATAATTAGTGGCCACCACTTGTGTAGATGTTCAATATTCTTCTTTCTTCTCTCTTTTGTTCTCCTTGGCTATCACAGCTTATCTCTGTTTTTTTTTTCAGAATTTCAAGAATTGAACAGCTCCATTCAAACTGTTACTCAACAGTTAGAATGGTTTGACCCCGACCCGCAGGCAGATATCAATGATCCCGACATCTCAAAGGTTGCATCCAAGCTGGGGAAGGAGAAAGAGAAGATGAAAGACGACTACCTGAAGAAGCTTGCCAGGGCAGAAGCTGCCATGTCCGCGGTTCGTAGCATGATGGCACAGGTTTTGGTGATTCTGGTGTCGCTCTCCACAGCAACACTTTCCTCGAACCATCTCGCGGGGAAAGTTGTAATTTGGCTCTTTGTGCCGGTTATTAGCGCTGTGAAATTGTCTTTCTATTTGGCGGTGTATGGATGCTACATAAGGCTTAAAGCTATCGGTCTAGAAGTGCAGGGCCTCCTTGTCAAGAAGGACAGTTTCAAAACCAAGCTTAAGACATTTGAGGAGATGGTATCAAGAAGAGGGCGGCCCAATGACATGGAGAACCCACAATCTCCCCCACAATCTCCTCGACAATCTCCTGAGGCGGAGCGGAGGAGAGAAGAGATAGTTGCAAAGCTTAAGACCTTCAAGAAAGAAATGGACTCTGTTGAGAACGTCACTACCCCTTGCTATGTGGAGCTTGTTCTCACAACCTTCCTGTCTACTGTGCAAGCTGTTGTTCTTATTGTGTTGATCTTTACTACTCACCATAAAGTTGCCGCTGCTGTTGCCCCCCCTCCAGTCCCTACTTGAAGGATTTACAATTTTTTTTATGGGCTGTCTATTTGTTTTTGATTGTTGTTGAATGTTGACTTGTTGGATCTGGACATTTCCATGCTTAGCTTAATTAATATGCAGTTATCGTGTTTAGGTTAATTGATTTTGAGGTTGCATGCTTTTAATGCCACTTTTTAAAGTCGATATCTCTTCTTTATCCTTTCCTTTCAGTAGTGTTCGGAACAAACCCAGACTGGACCTGATTAGATCGGGACCAAATAAGAGAGACCTTGTGGACCGAGGACTGGATCGATTCCGGTTAAGACAGGCCTGGGATTGGACCGTAAAATCCTGACCGGACTGAATAAAAGTGGTTTTTTTATATTTGATTTTGTTTATTTAATTTAATGTATTTAATTCTATAAAAGTATTACTCCGTACTATAATTAGTTTTTAAAGTATATACACTAAACATTTTCAAATATTGATGTTTTTAATTTTTTTTAAAACTATAAAAAATATATATCCTCCATCTAAATTACATGAAATTTGTTTGTAATTTTTATTTTACATATGGAAAATTCTAATTACTGTTTTTTATACTTTTTATAATATATTTTTAGGCATTGATATTTGAGCTCCACTATTTGATAGGATTATTCCGCCCTTGTAATATTTTACAAACATTGGTAGTCATACCTTTTAATTTGGAGTACGAAGTAGAGTAGTGTTTTTGGTTTCCATTCTACATTGCTATATTTTGAGTCAATGACTACATTCCGCAATATTCTATAAATATTTATAAATGAATTTTTCTTTTTTTAAATAAAATAATCTTTTCCTGTTATAATTACATATTATAAAAAGATAAAATGGAGTAACATGCAAAATATTTTTATGGAGCAACACTCTTATATTAACGATAAACGTGATATATTCTTTTTTGCTTATTTAGTGACTAATTAAAAAGATTGTTTTCAATTAAAATAATATTCTCAAATGCACTACTTTTATGATGTAAAAGAAATGAATGTGTGAAATGATCACTGTATAACTGGCAAATATGTATGGCAAAAATAAAATGAAACCATATATCCAAATTTAAGATATATGACATCTCAAAATTTTGATACGGTCACCTTTTTCCTTTATTTAATTTAAATTGTCACTTTTTTGTCACTTTCTTCATTTATTTTGTTAAGTCTTTGATAAAATAATATACTCATGTTATAACTTATTTTATAAAATATTTAATGTAGTTTTAAACATGTAATTTCATTTTTAATTTTACCCAATTGTTTTATAAATTGAATTAAAAATAATAATTTCACAAGCCATATAATTGAAATGGGATGGAAGGAGTATTATTTTTGGAAAATGAGTTGGTGACATAAAAAAACTAAAAGAAAAAATGGGTCGGGGGAGTAGTATAAGAAAAACAATAGTGCGACATAAAAAATTAAAAAGAGATACTCCGTAAAAGTTAAAATAAATGAAGGATAAATTATTTTAATAAAAATATGAAATTTCACAAATATAATATTTATTTCCAAAACTTTTAATTTTTCTCAACATTTTTAATTTATTGAAGTTTTTTCCAACTCTTTCAAATTTGATCAATGTCTTTTAATTTTTCGAACTCTTTTCAATTTTTTCCAATACTTTTTTTTTGCATTTCAAAAGATCAAGATCTTATTATTGGTGTTGCTTGGAATAATCGGTACTTTGTAAGGGGTTTACAATTAATAAGAGGGAGAAAATTATTAATACGAAAAATACTCGTTCAACCAGGAGGGGCATGGCTATCCATTTTTGAAAAAGATTAAAAGGGTGGAGCGCCAGAAGTAAATGATGGAGCGTATATATCAACTTCCATTTTGTGTTTTTGGTTTCTATTGGCAAAGGATGCATTTTTTTACTGTTTTTTGTTCATGAAGTTGTTTACAATATTTTTTATTAGAGTTTTATTACTGATAAAGTACAAACTTAAGTTATGATATTGGTACGTAAATTTGAAATGCCTTAGATCACTAATACAAAGATAATGTTTACTTTTTTCACACTTTTAATGTTAAAATATTTAAATATCATTAGAATTGGTATCTTATTTTGAATTGGAATATTTATAAAAAAATTATATTGGATAATATAAAATCAAAACATTTAAAAAACTTTTAGTATTAAAGTAAAAGTAATTTTAAGTATAAGAAAAAAACTTTAAAAAACTATATAGAAACTAATATTTATTTAAAAAAATGTAACCGGTCCACCGGTCCGGACCGAATCCCGGTGGACCGGACCGGACCGGAACCCGAATAAGAAAAATGTGAGGACCGACGATCGGACCGAATAAGGACTGGTCCAGACCGGTTCGGTTCTGTGTTGGCCAGATTTCAAGTCAGTCCAGGTTCGAACCAAATAATGCACACCCTTACCTTTCACTTAGGGCCTTACTTAACCCTTTGAATTTTTATTCTTGAATAACACACTTTTTTTAAATATAAATACACTAGATTTGAATCTGGACGTTTCATTCTTAGAAAAGTATTCCGAGTTACTTTATAATTTCTACATTAACATAGTATGATTCGTATCATAGCCATTGCCGACCCTAAAAAATGAAAAAATAAATTTAGGGCCTTAAAATTTTAAGGGCCCTGTGTAATTGGCTACTTTGCACACCATCCAAGACACCCATGATCATAGCGGCCAGGTTCTTTGACCGTTAAGTAGGGGTCACTTTTCGGGTGCTCGGGAGCAATGTTTCCAAAACTTTTTTTATACATGCAATGTGAAACTTTAAAAAATACGGATAATAAATTTACCCTCAAACCATTACTCCGTATTTAAATAGTAAAAAAATCAATTTTTTTAATTCACATGTATAATAATTTCACATGTATAATAATAATAATAATAATAATAATAATAATAAATTTGACCCAAAAGTAAAATAAAATTGAGGAATAAAATTGAAAGGGTTGGAGGTTCGGCGCAGGTCGGGTGGGAGGGTTTACCAGAGGTTAGAGGGTAGGAATAATGAATTTTATGATCGGAGTACCTATGATAATCCGACTGAAGTTGTTGTCATATTATGATACGGAGTACTATTTTTGTTGTAAAAAAGGGAGGTGTAATAATAAAAATCTAAATAAAAATAAACAAGACTTCCCCTTATATACCTTTGATAAATTCACTCTTATAATACGGAGTACTTAATACTCCGTAAGTAATTCCTTAAAAGATGTGTTGTAGACTGCTGGTAGCTAAAGTTCTTCTTTTTTATTTAAGGAAAAAATTGTCTATTTAGTATAAATGGAATTAATTTAGGTAAAATGAGAGGAATATATTAAAAAAAAGACTAAAGCATGAGTAAATTATTAAAAATATATCAAAATAAGAATTACATATTTTTATTTATTAAATACGGAGTAGAAGTTAAAATACATACATAGTTTATGTCAACCATAATAATATATATTATCAAAAGGTATTGTGAAACATTCATATAGAATGCCACGTTACAACAGGATGAACTCATATGTTAGGGATAAAAACCATAACACTTTTATTTTGAAAATTTCTTGAGTATAAAAATAATAATAATAATAATAATAATAATAATAATAATAATAATAATATTAATAATAATAATATTAATAATAATAATAATAATAATAATAATAATAATAATAATAATAATAGTAATAGTAATAGTCATAAAAAGGAAAAATTTCATGAATATATAATAATGATGATGATGATGATGATAATAATAATAACGATAACAACAACACCAATAATAATAAATTTGACTTAAAGGTAAAATAAAATGGAAGGGGTTGTGGTGATAGTTTTACCTAGGAATTAGAGAGTAGGAACCATGACTTTTATGATCGGAGAGTTGTCATACTATGACACTATTTTTGTTGTAAAAAAAAAGGGAGGTGTAATAATAAAAATATACTCCGTAAATAAAAATATAAAAGACTTCCCCTTATTTTCTTTTTTTTAGCGCACTTTCCCTTATATAACTACTAGGAGTAGGAGTATTAGTTAAAAGGGTGTTGTTACTAGGATACTTCATGGATGCTTCTATGAATTGAATTGAAAATAAAGTCGATCAAACTTTGTAACGCGTAATAGAAAGATTTTAGGTGAGCGGAGTAATAAATTTGACCTAAAAGTAAAATAAAATATAGGGGAATAAAATTAAAAGAGTTGGGCCAATGGGTTCGGGGCGGGTTGTGGTGGAGGTTTACCTAAAAATTAGAGATTAGAAACCATGAATTTTATAATTGGAGAGTTGTCATATTATGATACTTGGTCCGTCCCTGAGTGTTTGTTCATTTTTTACTTTTGGAACTGTTCATCTAAGCATTTTGACTCATCAAATTCTCTCAACGTGTAAGCCTAAAAATAATCATGTGTGATTCTGTTTGATTCGTCTTAATATATAGATTATTAATATATAATTTTTATAATTTTTTAATATACAAATTACAAGATAAAATGAATTAAAGAAGTCCATTGGATGGTGTGCAAAACTGAAAGTGGATAAACACTCAGGGACGGAGGAAGTACTATTTTTGTTGTAAAAAAGGGAGTTGTAATACTCCCTCCGTCCTAAAATTATTTTCCCATTTTGACTTTTGCAGTCAAAGTTTAAAAAACTTTGACTGTATATTATGGAAAAAATATATTGAATTTTCATATAAATTTAGTATCAATAGATTCATTTTGAAACATAATTTTGAAATATATTATTTTGATAATATATATTCATATAAAATTGGAGATATTAATGGTCAAAGTGCCGCATTGGAGACCGTGAAAAGTCAAATGAGAAGTTAATTTTAGGACGGAGAGAGTAATAAAGATATAAATAAAAATATACTCGTAAAAGACTTCCCCTTATTTCCTTTTTTTTTAGCGCACTTTCCCTTATATAACTAGGAGTAGGAGTATTAGTCAAAAGTGTGTTGTTACTGGGATACTTCATAGGGGCTTCTATTTAATATGCGTTCATTCCAATGATGTGACTCACATTCTTGGCCTCTTCATCGAACTCCTCTCTTCGTCTTCGATCTCTCTCTCTCTCTCACATTCTTGATCGCGCTGTAAGTAACAAGTCTCTTCCCCAAATTTCATCGGCAGATCTT